CATTTCATTTTCATTTTATAGAGATTTTATTGAATTAATTCAGAGTAACTAAACCAAAGGGATTTCATTTGCAAACGATCCTTGGGAATCGTTTACAAATTTTCTCAAACTATCATTAAATACCAGTTTTTTAAAATATTCTATAAAAGATGTTGTATTTCCTTTTAAAAATCAACCAAATGTTTTCAATTATTTGGTTAGACTGCGAACGTTTTTTTTTTTCAACTGTCGTACTTGTGTGAATTGATATCATTATATACAAAGAAATGCATTGCTGTAATAATATCGTTTTCTGTGTCGCAATTGGTTCTCAAAGTAAACGGACACACTTTTCATTCTTTCAATGCATTAAGATAGAAATGAGCTAGAATAATTGGGTCATTACTTGTGTGGCAAAGTTTTAAACAAATTTTGTTACGAGAAAACCCATCTATGCATAATTGGAAAGAGAATCCATACGGCTTTAAGTAATCGTAGCTATCAACATGCCACACAAAATTTGGACCCGGGGAACTATAAATTCTTGGTTTTTATTTATGTTTTTTATTTTCCAATTGCTCAGGATTAATTTGCCTAAGGATGTTTATGACATCATCTCTGTTGACAGAGATACCAAACTTTTGCCGGAATAAAAGGTTACCGCAAACTTTTGCGATAACCTTTTATCGAAGTGTTTTCAAATAATCTGTTTTTTCTTTTCAAACCCATTTAGTAATATTTAAATCTATTGAGTAAATAATTAAATTAACGCGACTGTTTCACTCAATGTAAAAGCGAGCTTGACGTCACAAAAAATTTCGAGTTTAAAAAAAAAAAAAAAAAGTATTTCCGCATAAAAAGTATAAAAACTCACAAACTTTAAAATAATATATATTTTTTTCTTCTAAGAAAGCTTTCGTCTTCAAATAATAAAAAAAAATAATAATAAAAGATCTATCTTTCTTTGTTAAATAAATATTTATATTAAACGGACCATAATAAAATATTGTTAAAATATTGCTTATGATTTAAGATCACTTTTCTGTTTTTTGCGATTTTTACTGAAAACCTGTCTTGGGCTAAATAAGATTCTAGAACATAACTACATGCCTAAAAGTTGAAATTTGGAACACTTATCAATAAGTGTCTATTTTATTATATTCTTACGTTAGTGGTGTATTTTTATTTAAAAAACTATTTTTTTTTGGTTTTATATATTTAGTTTTATTATTTATAGATGTAAAATAAAACATTTTTGAACAGTAACGTAAGTTATTTAAATTTTAACCTTTTATGCATATAAAAATAAAAAAGCTATTTTCTGTACCTCTAGCTATGTTCTAGAATACCTTTTTACACTTAGCATGTTTAGCAACTTTTTCTAGTTTTTCGCGTAAATTTTTGTTTACGTTTTTAAAGTGATGATATAGGGGCTGTTCATATGGATAAAAAACATTCCGCCTAACCGATTTTTAACTTGTGTTCATATGAAGAATTTTCACCCCGCCTGACCGGGATCCCGGTAGTCCATAGGCGAGATCCCGCCTAGACGGGGTGAGAAAATTTACATATGAACGCGATGCTAAAATTATAAGAGTTTATTAAGATAGGCGGGACCCCGGTTGTTTTTCTGTCCCGGTTAGGCGGGATGATTTTATCCATATGAACAGCCCCTTAAAACATACAACTTTAAAATATTTTGTCTAATATTATTTTGCGATTTTGATGTCTGATCTTTAATAATCCCTGTTTTATATCACATTTAGTTTAAGTAGACTTTTTTAAAATTATAATGGTCTAACGATGTTTATATTTGATAATATCTAAAAGATGTTTTTTCATATTTTGTTTTGATAAAAAGGACCAATAAATTTTTTGATAATTTAGCTATGCTCATTATTTGCCCGTTTATTTAAAAATCGAATAAGTTTTGATTTATCCTTAAATGCCATAAAATAAAAAATTATATTGGTATTATTAATCTTTTTACGGAACAAAATTATCTCTATTATTTCAAAAGTTTTTAAGGTTTTAGTAACACTCTTTAAGGTGGTAGACCACTAATTAAATCAAATCCTTCAAAAATTACATTTTAGATATTATTTACATCTAAATTGACTAAAATTTACTCTTGAATGACAAAATTAAAAAAAATAGTGATTTCTGAAATTTGGTCCCAGAAACCCAAAAATATCATCATTTCGTTGCGGTGATTATCTCAAAAACTATTGAAGCTATTAACTTGAAATTTTCTATATTTACTTCTAATACAATAAAGAAGATCCTGTACCAAAATCAAGAAAATTTACTGAACAGATTTTTTTTAATAAGAAAAACACTTGACGATCAAAAAATAAGGCATTTTTGACCACATTTGGGCTTTAATATCTTTGAATTGGATTATCGTATTGTCATAAATGTGGTAGGGGACATCCATTACAACAAAAAGAACAACTTCTGAAAATTTAGTGGAAATTGATTAAGAAAATCTTGAGATTCATTCATTCACCGCAAAGTCGTGAATTTTAGAGATCTGAGAAAAACACATTTAAACAAAAAAAGCATAAAATTTTTCAAACAAATATTAAAAACCCACGTAAAAAGCCTATTGACAAATATCAACTTATATTAAAAGTGTTGTGGAGTAAAAGTAGAGAAAATTATAAAAAAATTGTTTTAAAAGACAGGTTTTATTAACAGCCATTAATACTTTCAAAGTTAGATTTTATTAAAAAAAAGTCTCACTTTTGATTTGTAATTTAGTTTCAAATAAAAACTCCTATCAGTTTTATACCAATAGTTATCACTAGTAAATAAATATCAAGTATATATATATATATATATATATATATATATATATATATATATATATATATATATATATATATATATAAATAAACTAAATATATAAAAAAATAAAAATATAAACTAAAACTATTATGCACCATAAGAAATATCCTCATTAACTACTGTGTTTTTATTATAGTTTTATTTTCAGAAACTTATTTTCAGAGCTTCTTCGCTGCGGCATTCATGCAAGCTTCAGCTATGTAACTGTTATAATTTTTTTGTTTAACTAGCTAAAAAAAATTTTTATGGGATCAAACCTGTTCATAAAACCACAAAGCTTTTCAATAATACAGTATTCTTTACCCATTTCTCAAAAAAAACAACTAAAATTGTACATAAATAAAACTTAAAAATTCATTGCTGCTGGTTTGTTTATAATTTTGGTAGAATAAAACTTCTGAATAAAATTAGGAGACAGTTTTATAAGCCATATTGTTTTGAGCATCATAAAAATTTATAATTTAAAAGTTACATTTTAGGAAGTTTTTGATAGCAAACAATGGCAGCCATTATTCCATCTCATATGTTGGTGTTCATTAATATGTAGCAGTCATTTGTAACATTGAACTGATCGTAATTAGCAGAACTATTACTTTTATTTACAAAACTGTTATTTAAAAGTTTTACAGATTATTTACTGCTGGATCTGGATGTACACATGTCCATTTAAATTTATTTTTGCTATGCTACATTCAAATTTTAGTTCATACAAATAGATACAATTTCTTCAGCTGCATTGTTTGTTGATTGATTTTGGTTTCCTTTAAAAAGTTTAAAAAAGTATTTTTCTATGCCTTGTTTTATTTTTTATTTTTTTTCCATTACTTTCCATTACTAATATTATTTAATCAAAGTGATAGGATAAATGTAGAATGATACAGAAAACAGCAACTATAGTTGGAAATTTCAATAAAACTCATGATACCAAAAGTATAAATAAATAAACAAAAAGTAGTTTTAGATTGGCAATCACCACATCTGGTATTTTATATTAAAAATATATGCTATAATTATGATACAATTTCTTTTTTAGTTGCATAAAAACGGTATAAACAAAGCGTTGCTATGGAAAAATATAAAAATTTACTTATACCGCTTTATTAAAAAATAGTTTTTAATGGTGTTAGCTGTTTTTTTATAAAACTAACTTGAAATTCGTAATTTACGATAGCTATATTAGTTAAAAAATTAGGTCTACCACCTTAAGTAATTATTTTCAAAAAATAACAAGAAGCCGTAAAGCTCACCTTGAAACAGCCGTGTTAAAAACAAAATACAAAGAGCCTTCTTTAGAAGTTGGTATGTAATTTTAAGAAATAAGTAGAAAAGCGAAAGCTTTTTTTGTTTTAAGTATATTGAAAAAATCATTCGTGATATGGAATAAAAAAAAAAACAAACAAACAAAAAACCACTCCACTATTATGAAGTTTGCTACAAAATCTTATATTCCATGATATTTTACATAAATTTTATAAATAACTCCTCCTTAAACTCAATACTAAATTTACTATTTATCATGGTCACACAACTGCTTTACCCGACATTACCCGCGATCGGAACGAAGAGCGGGAAACGCAAGTGTAAGCTGCTCTTATATTTTGATTGTTTAGGAAAAAGGAGATAGTCGTTTTTATAAATATATTTTATTTTAATATATAAAATATTTCAAATACAAAATTATTGAATTTTGTTTTTAGAACCCAATAATTGATAGTTTGTGTAAGTGTAGTTAACAATATACAACAATAAAATCAATAATTCTAAGTTCATTACGAAGACTTCTCGTATATTTTTAAGGATTTCACAGTGCAGTCCTTTATTTTTATATGCGTCAAATAATTAAATATATATATATATATATATATATATATATATATATATATATATATATATATATATATATATATATATATATATATATATATATATATATATATATATATATATATATATATACGTAAAATCAAAGTTTAAAATATTTGGAGGTGTGATTTTATTTGTAAAAACATTTTTGAAAAAGACTGCATAAAATTGTTTTGATCAAAAGAAAGATCAAACAATGTTTTGACGATCGAACTTGTTTGATCACCAAAATAACAAATAATCCAATAAAAATTATTTAAATAATTTAATAAAGTTTAAACTAAATAACTTAATTGAAGGAGATAATATTACGCAATATTTTGTAATAGCCAAATTAATAATATGCCTATGTGTGTGTTTGTTGTGTGTGTGTTGATGTATAAACACAAATATGTATTTAGCCTTATTAACCTTTTTTATACTGATGTAGTATAGATACGGCCGAGCAAAATAATTTTAAAAATTGATTTTTTTAAACTGTGGTCGGTTACTTTACTTTGTTAAGAAGTAGAATTAGCGATTCAGTTAATTTAGAAATCTTTCAAGGGTGTAATGAGAGGTAACCAGCTAATTTCGCCATTGTTTAACAACGTTTCGCTGTCTAGCGATTCAAGATGATGTATCTAAAACAAAAAAGTTTCAATTTTTAAGGTCTAAAACGGATCGATGACACTCATCCAGTAAATTTTTTAAATTTAGTTATTTGCCAATAAAACATTGTCTATATTATACTTAATGTATTGTCGTCAAAAGTTTAAACGTCAAATATATTTATTTACAATAAAAACTTTGAAACGTGCATTTACATATAATTAAATATATACGTTTTGAGTAATATATTTAATTATATATAATTGAAAACCTGTTCGGACTGCGCGCAGAGTATCTTATGTGCGCAGTCCGAACAGGTTTTCGGGTTGTAGAAAAAGACATGCTCTTCTAGCCAAGCTAATCATCACATTTATCACGACATAACACAAGTACCATTATCACAATATAAAAGTAAATCACATTAAATCACAAAACACAACCAACATTACCAATATTTGGTTCCTCCCTAAAGCTAAGGGCGCAACCTAAGCCAAGGTGACTACTCTTTTTTTTTTTTTTTTTAAACGTGTTTTTACAATAATTTCTAATTTCTTTAACTTGGAAAAAGGAGTCTTGCCACACAAGGCCGCTACGCAGAAAAACAAGGTAATACGTGGTGGTGGGGATCAAATAGGAACTCATCGCTTACAAAGCGAGCACTTTAACACTATACCACTATCAAAATATAGATAAATTTATTGATGATTTTAATTTAGAGTAATACAAAATAATAATTACACTCAAGGTAAATTAATGTAAAATAAGACTAACAATAAATAACTCATACTTGAATTTTTTTTACAGATGAAATACCCAATGAATAAATTTTTCTAAAGAAATTAGTTTTTTTTACACAAAATATATATTTCAAGCAAATGATATTTTTAAGAAATATTTTGCATTACTTTATTTTGTAAAAAGCATAAATAATACAAACCACTGCAGAGTAAAATGATTGTAACCCTACTATAGTAGTAGTTTAGTTGTGTACTCGACGAGCCATCTACCCTTCATCTTCTAGGATTAACTCTTACTTCCGATCTTTCTAGGAAACCAGATATCAAATCCATTGCAAAATCAACATCTGCTAAAGTTGCATCTCTTTATCGTGCTCAACACTTTCTTATTTCTATAAATCACTTTCTTTATCTCTATAAATCTGAAAACCGTCCTTGTATGTAATACTGTTGCCATATCTGGGGCGGATCTTCCAATGATGCCCTTTCTCTTCTAGACAAGGTGCAAAAACACATTGTAAACATAGTTGGACCTGCTCTTGCAGCCAAACTCCAACCATTATCACATCGTCGTGATGTTGCTTCTCTTTCTCTTTTCTACAAATACTATAAGAGGCACTGCTCTAAAGAGCAAGCTCTTTTGTGCCATCTACTAAAATTCATTCTAGTGTTACTCGTCATTCAATTAGGTGTCATCCATTCTTTGACTATTCCTAAGTGCTCCAAAAACGCTTATTTGTCTAGTTTTTTTCTCGAACATTAGTTCTTTAAAATTCCCTTCATACATCTTTCTTTCCCGATTCATATAATTAGCAATCATTTAAGTCGTCTGTCAATCGTCATATCTTGCTCTTCCAGTAAATTCCAACTCTAATATTGGTTGGCTTGTTGAAAGCGAAGATGTTAAAGAAAAAAAAATTAATTATGAGAAAAGATAGTGTTTTTTTTTAAAATTAAATTCATCAATTGTTATTGATGCTACTAAGTTATTCGGTATATTGTTTCAATATGGTACTATCTAGTTGCAAAAGAAATTTTTTGCAGTAACATTGTGTTTGTAAACTCTTTGTACCTTTAGTGCGGTTCTCTGATATTAACAGATGATACTTTTAGAATTTAGAAGAAAAAGTTTTTGAGTTTGGATGACACCAGTTTAATTTGAGTAAATTTATTTTTGTTTCAAAATATTAGATGAGGTCCCCTTTAACTCTTGTGGTTTTGAGACTTTTTAACCCTAAGCTTTTTTTATTTTGATTATTGAGATCATCTTGTAATATTTCTCGATTATTTTTGGTTTTTGATTACGCCAATTAACTTACTGTCATCTGCAAATAGCTACAAATATTGTGATAAAAATTTGCCACGAGGCACACCATTTAATACTGGAAGCCATTCAGATACTTCATTAATTACAACTCTTTGTTGTTGGTTCGAGAGAAAGTTGTGTAGCCAATATGTTATTTTTTTTTTTGGAAACCATAAGCTCTTACTTCAGCAATTAGTAATTTATAGTCTACTGTATCAAATGCTTTATATGAAATTTTTATACAATTTCGCTTTATTTGAGACCTAACAAATAATGTTGCTATAAAAAGAATGTTTTTATAGCAACATCATTTTTAATTTAATCAAAGCATGTCAAGATTAATAAGTAGCGATAAATTATGTTGCAGCAAAGTAATTTTTTATGGTGCTATTATAAAATTCCTCATAATTTAAACCAATATCCCTGTAAAAGTCTGCTAGAAGATTAAGAAAAATTAAAATTTAAAACTCAAACATAACATATGTGCTTTGGTTATAATTGTAAATCATAAACCAAAAAAAATGGAGATTTTTTGTTAAAAATTTTTTGACTAGTTAATTTTAGACACAAAAAGAACATATAATACTATTGAAGTTAAAATATAAAAACATAAACTATAAAATAAATATATAAAAATGTAAACTATAAAATAAATATACAAAAATATAAACAATAAAAGAACAATATAATACTATTGAAGTTCAAAAAAAAAAGTGTGACAAACAATTGAAAAAAAGTATAACAAATAAACAATAGATTATTAACTTTCATAATTAGTTGTTAATCTTAATTAAATAGAAAACTTATAGTTTGCTAATGTTTATCAGAGATATGTTTCTTATATTTTATAGAAAAATAAAAATCTCATACTCTCAATAAATTAAAAAAAAAAATTTAAAAAAGGTTGCATTTGTTAGATAAAACTTGTATTTTACCTGTTTACGAATGTACTCTACAAGTAGTGCAATATTCTCGGGATCTGATTTTGACTTTTCAACAAACATGTTTCTATATATATATATATATATATATATATATATATATATATATATATATATATATATATATATATATATATATATATATATATATATATATATATATATATATATATATATATATATATATATATATATATACATATATATATATATATATATATATATGAATAAAATTAACAACACTTTTAAAATGTTTGATACACATGTTTCAAACTACATAGTTCATCATCAAGCTAAATTCTAGCTAAATTCTTAGGTACTTTAGTCAAACCGTGTATTGAACTAAAGTATTCACCAAAAGATTTCTTTACTTTTCTTGAAGAATTAAGATTACACAATTTTAGTAATATTTATTTAGTTTTTTTTGATGTTGAAAGTTTATTCACTAATATTTTATTGGACCATTGAACTAGTGGTTTTTAAAATATTAAATAAAAATCCAGAACTTAAAATTTCTAATGCTAATTTAAAAAAAATTATTTAAGTTTACAACATATAATTCTCATTTTTTATTTTGTGGTAAATTTTATGATCAAATTGATGGTGTATCTAGAATTCTTGAACTATTTTGACTATTATGACGTTGATTTTATGAAAATGCTTTTTTTAACTATTTATACCTATTATGTTTTTTTTAAATGAGTTTTGAGACTGAGGCATTTTGTTATTGTATTTTAATGGTCTTTTTAACCCTTTGTAATGAATTTTATAATAGATTTTTGTAATAACGTAATTAATTTGTATCCCTTATAAAAACGGTTTTTTAATGATTTTTGTAAACTTTACTGATGATGAACTATGTTGTTCGAAACATGTATAAAAAACATTTTAAAAGTGTTGTTAATTTTATTCAAATATCGATTTCAATTGTGCTTAAGAGATCATTTGGCAATATATATATATATATATATATATATATATATATATATATATATATATATATATATATATATATATATATATATATGTATATATATATATATATATATATATATATATATATATATATATATATATATATATATATATATATATATATATATATATATATATATATATATATATATATATATATATAATGATATTACAAATGATATACATATAAACACTTCTATTTTAATTTATTTTACATGAATATATATACAGTACCATACCCACTGTTAGTTTGGGTTATACGGTTTATTCAATCTGCACCGTTTATTCAATTCTGTCCCCAACCTCCCCTTCTATTTACCCAGTGCAGACCACCATCTATCAATGATTGACTCTAGACTAACAACACTAAAACATACTAACTTACCTAAAGACAGCACAAATATAGAACTTCTATACTTTATGAGAAGAAAATTAGGTCAGAAAATCTTTTAAATAATTTAAAAAACTTTATTATTGAAGAATGTTTTTACTTGACATTAATTTAAGTTAAAGAAACCATAAACCATATTAGAAATTATATTTTTCTTGCTATGTATCATTAATTTTGCTCTGCAACTTGTCTGGTCTTATTAATTGGTTACCACTTTAATTCTCTTTTCTGTTTTCTATTGCCTTTATAAAATCTGATGCAAAGTAATCTACTACTTCCCTGTTGAATTCAAGTAAAGACACAATTGATTTTGCTTTGCTATTAAAAATTGATTGATGTCATAAGTTTCTCGAAACATTGTTCTTACACATATGATGAATAACAATGAATAACCTTTATAATTATAATGCTAATTACTTACAAAAACAGTTGTTTACTTACAAAAAATGGTATGATGTCCATACCGATAAAACTGTATGGAGATACACCAAGGCACAGTAAGTCACTGCCAGTATTAAGATTTAATAAGAGTCGCCCTGTAAAATGTTCTTATACTATAAATAAATAAATTCCAAAAAATATAAATTTTAAAAAGTTGATGGCTGTTTAGGAATTTGAGTTAAAGTAATTTGTTTTAAAGGACGAGGGGCGCTACAAATTTTGTTTACAAAAAGTTCATAATTAGGATTCCAAACTAACTTTTGTTTTTACAGTATTTATATTTTAATTTTCTTTACTATTTTTTATGTAACCTTTTAAAATATGATTCCTGACTAAAAATCAAGAGTATATATATATATATATATATATATATAATATATATATATATATATCAGAGCCTCCAATAAGCAATCTTCCAACCTACAGACATGTGATTCAATATTCATATCTCATTAGTAAAAACACGTATAAAGTGCCAAGTATTTGTTTTCCAGAAATAATTTCAAAAGTGATAAATGAATTGATCAGTCTGTGGAGTAAAGTGAATCCTAGGCTCACTCTGATCCACAAGTCAAAAAAATTTCAAGACTTCTTAAGAGAGTGCTATCTGCTGAAGGAAAGTGCAAAAATGCAAACAAAAACAAGGAATATCTTGATAACAACTTTGAGCATTTGTTTGATTTGTCTTGTTGTGGTTGTGGACTTCCAGTTGTAGCTTGCAATAATAGGTTAGAAAAATGTTCAAATTATTTTTATATTCAATATTTATTTTTAGCTATATATTTGTGCTTAACTGAATACAAGTAATTGCATATAACTTGATATGATATTTAAGTTAAAAAATAATTTTTGGATAATTTTACATCACTTTATATTTTTAATGTTATGTTTTTGTTTTCAGTTTTTCTGCAATACTTTTTATCAAAGTAGTATTAAAATTATTTTACTAAATTTATAATATTTTTTTAAGTTTTGAAATATTTTTATGCATAGATCTGTGAATTGTAAGAATCTTTTGGATTGCAAAACAACGCACTTTGCTTGTTTATGTGAAAGCAGAAAAAAGGTAAACAATTTAAATTTTAAAATATTAGAATATATTTAATTCAGTTAATCTGTAGTAAGTTGAATGGCTTTGAATCTGATAGATACAATAAAATACATGTTTGAGTAAAATAAAAGTGTATTTTTCTTTCAAAATTAATTTTATTTTGATTTATTATTAGTATAAAAAAGCCTAAGAATTAGTTTGAACCTGTGATTTTCTTAAGTTTTTAAAAAATTTTAAAATATATTTGATACTATTTTTAAAAAGTTTATTATTAAGCTACTAAAACACCTTGTTAAAAAAAGTTTGAAATTTAGGTATCACCATTGGATAGAGAATATTTAAAAGAGCAAAAATCGAAAGTTGGAACAAGAGGAAGATTTTAAATTGGTACGGTACGGTTGATAAAACAACAGCTGCCAGAGAAAAAAGAAAGAGAGAGAAACTAGTGAACATATAAAAAGATGTAATAAGTCGCCTGCTGTGGAAATTCAATATTTAATTCAATATTTAATAATTCAATATTGCTGTGGAAATTCAAATTGAATCCTTTCTTTCCAATTTCCAATCATAGTATAAAAGTTTTCCTTGATGGACAGCACTCTTCTTCTTATTCTGTAACCTCAGGGGTTCCTCCAGGTTCAATCCTTGGCCCTATACTCTTTTTAATTTACATTACTTCCAGATATTCTCACATCTAAGGTGGCATTGTTCGCTGATGATACTACCATTTACTCTTGTCACCTCTCTTGTCTCCCTCTGATTGCTTGCAGGGGGCATTTGAGCTTGAAAAGGATATCACTTCTGCTACAGCATGGGGTTCAGTGGCTGGTGAACTTTAATTCAGATAAAACTCAATTTTTTTCAGCCAATCGTTATCGCAATAATTTAGACCTTCCAATATTTATGAACAGTAATGTACTCGATGAGTCATCTACCCTTCATCTTCTAGGATTAACTCTCACTTCTGATCTTTCTTGGAAACCTTATACTAAATCCATTGCAAAATTAGCATCTGCTAAAGTTGTATCTCTTTATCGAGCTTGACACTTTCTTACTCTGTATTCTATTCTCTATCTGTATAAATCTCAAATCCAATCTTGTACGGAATACTGTTGCCACATCTGGGGCGGATCTTCCAAAGATGCCCTTTCTCTTTTAGACAAGGTGCAAAACTGCATTGTAAACATAGTTGGACCTGCTCTTGCAGCCAACCTTCAACCTCTGTCACATCGTCGTAATGTTGCTTCTCTTTCTCATTTCTACAAATACTATAATGGGCACTGCTCTAAAGAGCTGCGTCTCTTGTGCCATTTACTAAAATTCATTCTTGTGTTACTCGTCATTCAATTAAGTCTAATCCTTTTTCTGTTACTGTTCCTAAGTGCTCCAAAAACTCTTATTCGTCTAGTTTTTCCCTCGAACATCAGTTCTTTGGAATTCGCTTCCTTCATCTTGCTTTCCTGATTCATATAATTTGCAATCTTTTAAGTCGTTTGTCAATTGTTATCTTGCTCTACAATCTTCATCTTTTCTCTTCCAGTAACTTCCAACACTAATTAGTGGTTGCTTGCAGCCTTGTTGGAAGCGAAAATGTTAACAAAAAAAAAAAAAAAAAAAAAAAATATGATTCCGATCTGGATGCTGAGTTATTTGATAACAATAATAAATTTGAATCTGATCCAGACTTTTCTATAGACGTGCCAGTTGAAAAAAATTATACTCATTTAACAAGATAGAGTGGTAAAAAAATGTGATAAATCTCAAATAATAAAAGAAAAAAAATTTTTGTGTGAAAAAAAAAAAATCAGCATCATCATAAGTTCTAAATACAACGCTGATGCTAAAGAATTAAAGGTTATTGGAATATATGGAAAAATTGACTAGTCAACGTTAGTGCATTCTATCAAGTACAACACTGATAAAGATCCTATTATTGTTGCTTCAACCTAAGAAGAACATTATCTTACATTTACAGCAGAGTATGGGCTAACATCAAAAAGTTATTTGACTCATGTAGTTATACCTAATGGAACTGGGGCTACCATGGCAAACGCTACTGCCAATGTTTTGACAGAATATAATAGTTTTCATAGCTTAGTAGCTGTTATTGTGGATAACACAAGTTTAAATACAGGTGCAGATAACGGTTTGGTTGTTAAACATGAAAAAGTTCTTAAAAAAAGTTTTCACCTTTTAGGATGTTTGCTGCATCAAGTTGAACTCCCACTGAGACACATGTAAATTAGATAGAAACACAATTGGCCCTAAGTCTTACAAGGGACCTATTGGAGACACTGCATCTAATCAAACTCTTCATGAACAGCCATTGGTTGAATTTATTCCTATACAGTCAGAAATAGAGTTATTTGTTAGCAGTAAAGTTATAAGCGATCTTACAGACCAGCGAAAGCTTTATGAGTACTGTGTCGGTATCTCAAAAAGTTTAATTTTAAAAAAATATCTTGCAAAAAAAACCTGGACCAGTTTGTCAAGGTAAATGAAAATCATTCAATTAGTCAAGCTTCAAGATACCAGGATTCAGAGCACTTTTTTAAGAACTTACAAAGAAACTCATATTGTTGTTTGTAAGAAAATTTTCTGTACTGCACGCTGCTGGATGAAAATGCAAATATAAGAAACCAAGCCCTCAACCAAATCCTAAAAATAAGAGCATGAAAAGAAGACATGAATTTTAAAACAAAGCATTAGTCAAAATCTATAATGAAAATAAACTTTGATGCTGATTCTTGGGTCTATCTTGTTTCTGTTGATGATATTCATGTTGAGCCCCCAACAACTCTTAGCATAGCGTCTGAAAATCTGAGAAAGGCTATTGAATCAAATCTAAAACTCTTTATAATTGACATGCCAAACAATTCTCAATCTGTGGAGAAAGCAGTAAAATTAACGTCTGAGACATCTAAACAAGTTTATGGTCAAGAAAAGCGACACAAATTCATTTTGACAAAAAACCAAAGAGAATAAAAGAAACGTAAGAAAGTGTGACTATTTTATAAAATGTCTAATATTTTAGTTATATTTTATGCTTGTAAGTTTTTGATTGCTCAATAAAATATTAATTGTAGGCAATAATCAATGTTTTTGTAGGTAAAAAATGTAATTGTAGGCAATAATCAATGTTCATAAAATTCCTAATTACATAGACCTCCAGGACCACTTTTCTAGGAGGGGAAAGCGGTGCAGTGGGGGAAATGCACCAAGGTTCCACAATTTGGGGGCCTCCAAATGGTTATGAACTTCTCAATAAAACTTTTTTTTTTAAATGTAAATAACTTAATAATTTAAAATGACTAAAATACATGTATATTAAACTTATATCTTTTGGTAAATCTTAGTTTTTGTCTTTTTGAAATCTTTGATTTTTCTGTTTTTTATCTTTAAAACTTTTTTTTTCAACTTACTGTAAAAATTCAAGAACTCTTTATATCTGTATGCCACCAAAATGTGTTGCATCGAGGCCCCCAGAAATAGAAAACCGGCCCTTCTATAAAATAAGTTACAAAACATATCAAAATAGCTGAAAATAGAAAAAAATGTAATTATTCAAACCAATTTCTTGAAGAGAACGTAACTTAAAAAAAAAAGTGATTATTTTGTGTTACTAACACTGCAATACACAAATGCAGGGTGACTCTTTATGATTTTTTAAAAAAAACATCTTTTAGGCAGTGGATTAAGGCACAGCATACACATAGTTTTGTTATATTAGCAAGGTTAGATTAAGCTTAGAAAAAAACTTAGAAAACAAGCTTAGAAAAAAACATTAAATAATTTAAGAACTTTAAATTGTTTACCTCCACAGAGCAGATGCAAGTACTGTATCATGGGATAGCAAAGCCTATAAATAAAACTCATTTAATTTATGAATATTAGAAATATTAAAATTAAACAAAATAATATTTAATAATAATATAATAATATTTTTAATAATAAAATTATTAAAAACCTCATCAAAAGCAATAATAAGTCCATGAAACTGCTGGTTAAATTCTTCCATGCTTTCTTTTAAATCAGTAGTTCCTGTCACCTATTTAAAAGTTTAAAAAACTTATATAGAATACAATAAATTATTATAAAAAAAAAAAAAAAATTAATATTAATAGTTAGTAAATAAAATTTTTTTATTTAATAATAATAACATGATAATAAATAAATATAAAATAGATAAATATTAAACAAAGCAAAAACCAAACCACTCACTCGTTGAAGAAATTATTTAACAAAGACAACTACAGTACAGAGAGAAATTATAAAGAAATACACTCTAACAATATATTTTTAAATTGAATTCTGTTGAACAGTAAATAATCCGTAACAAGGGGATACTTTTTTTTTAGACTTTTTTATTAACGCAGAAATACACTGGTTCCAATCGGAAATACATTGTTGTTTTATGGAAAACTTACCATATTTAATTGTGTTGAAAATAGAAGAGTATAGCTTACTATTTTCTGTATTCCTGGTGTGATGATTATGAATTTCATTTGTTTTAAAAAAAAAAGTTTAAAAAAGAGTTTGGTAGTTTGTTTTGGAGAAAGTCAAACACAAAAAGACAATTGTAAAACTTTACAAGATCATGGAGTTTTAGGATTTTTAGTTCAGAAAATTTGGATATCAGATCACATTGTCGAAAACGCCATTATTCTAATAGATGCGCGTTGTAAACTAGCAAGGCTATCAAGTAAAAAGTTTCTTTTTCGACCCCAAACAATACAGCAACAGCGAAGGTGAGAAGAGAATAAAGAAAAATAAATCATTTTAAGAGTTTGGATAGAAACATAGTAACGAATTAGAGAAAGCATACTGTTAGCTCATGTAAGTTTTTTTTTAAGATATTACAGTTGATTATACCAAGATAGGTTTTCATCAAGATATATTCCAAGATACTTTATATATTTTGACGGGAAAAGTTTTTTTCTGTTAATTTTAATAGTATCAATAGTTTTTCGAGGGGAATGAAAAATAATGTATTCAGTTTTATCAACATTCAGGGAAATACAATTACTATTTAACCGGTTACATAAACAATGAAGATCTTGATTAACTTTGTTGAAAAGTGATTTGTTGGTATATAAAAGATTGGTATCAACAGCATAATGATGTACCATAGATTTTTTTAATGAATAAGATAAATCATTTATATATAATAAAAACAATAACGGTCCAAGAACGTAACCTTGTGAAACGCCATATTTAAAAACTTTATGTGTGGATTCAAACCCATTTATTGAAACAAACTGAGTGTGATCCCTAATATATGAAGAAAACCAATGATTAGCCACATATTCTGTAGTAGTTTAACTTTTTGTGATCAACCGTATCAAAAGCTTTTTGAAGATCTATGAATACACCACAAGCAAAGGAATCACTGTCAATTGCACCACGAATCACTTTGATAATGATAAATGAGTTTTAAATAAGAGCATGAGAAGTGGAGTGATTTGAGCAAAATCCAAACTGTAAAATATGAAAACAAGCAAAATTATTCAAAAAGTTGTAAATATGAGAATACATAAGTTTTTCTAAAAGTTTACTGACATTTGATAATAATGAAATTGGTCTGTAGTTGTTACATTCAAGTTTTGAGTCTTTTATGAATTGGAATAATAGAAGCAGTTTTTAAAATATCAGGGAATACACCGGTGATGAATGACAGATTAAATAGTTTAGAAAGTGCAGGAGAGATATTATTTGCAAGAGTTTTAAAAATAGGTATTTTTAGGTATTGGAATGCTGTTAGGTCCTGAAACTTTGGTGTCATTAAGAGAATGAATAATCGATAATACTTTGTTTTTGTTTATAGGTTTTATGAATATTGATTTAAGATTAGGATTTTTAAGATATTTATTAAAGTCAGTATTGGATGAGTGATTCTTTTTCTGTAATTCCTCTGGAACTGAAATAAAAAATGAATTAAGAGATTCTGAAATTTAATGGGATCGTATATCATGGAGTTGTTCGAAGATAAGCAGGAGGGATATGAGTTAACTCTTGAACTAATGTTTAAAAGATTCCTAATACCATCCCATGTAGATTTCAAACTTTTGGCATTATCAGAGAAGAACATAGAGTAATGGTTCTTTTTACTACGATGGGTAAAAGTAACAAGTTAGTTTCTATATGTTTTATAAGATTTTTCTTGATTGAGTTTGTTATTAGGATTCTTTGCTTTAAGAAATTTATTAAATATTTTATTTCATATTTTAATTGAATTTAAGATTCCTCATGTTATCCAAGGTTTGAGACCCCTTGATAAGCAGCGATTGCTGACTTTTTTTAATAGTGCATGTTTATCTAATAGAGAATTAAAATTTGTGAAAAAATCTTCAAATGACATTAGTCTTACCTTCATTGTTATTTATTACATTAGTCCTGCTAATTTTTGAGAAATCACTACATAATTCATCATAATTTATTTTTTTAAAATTCCAACGAAAAATGCAGCTTTTGCGAGGATTAATTTTGGTTCTATAAAATGGTGGTTCTAAAATGTATTAAAAATTGGGGTAAATGATCTGATACCATAGAAGAAAAATTACCGGCAAAAATATGTGTAGAAGTTGCATTAGAAAATATGTTATCCATTAGAGTTTTGGAGTGATTTGTGATTCTTGTAGGCAATGAAATGAAGGGAAGAAAATTATTTAAAGCAATGGTATCTAAAAATTCAGAGACATAATTATCTGAGTTTGCTAATAAAAGTGTGCTACATTGACTGAGGATTTGGTTAGGGCAGGCAGTCTAACATTTATAAAAAAAAAAATTATTCAAGTTTTAAAAACTATTTCTGATCTGGTTTATTAGCACTCTCTAAAAAACTTTTCGACTACCACGCAAAACTATATATATATATATATATATATATATATATATATATATATATATATATATATATATATATATTTGTACAGTTATTTACTTACAGAGACAGATTTTACAAAAAACGAACACTTACGGGGACAATAGCATTATCGGGGGACATTTTAGTGTACCTGTTAATTTTTTGTCCCTGTAAGCATTATTTTTTTTGTAAAAAAATGTACCTATAAGAAACTTTTATAGAGAACGAAAAGTACATACATCGACTATCAAATAGCCTGACTCGCAAGGGAGTGCTGCTCCAAAGACTGAGGGTTTGATTAGGTCAAGCATCAAGGTCAGGCTTAGGGTTAGGGTTATGGCAAGGTTTAAATTTAATTATATTATTGTAATTAATCGCTTTTGTAAATAGATGAAGTTAAAAAAGCAATATAATATAAAATAGATAAATAAAAATAACAAAAATTAATAAAAAAAAATATATTTTTATAATAAATTTAAAATAATAAATTTAAATATGTATTAAAAAAAAATTAAAGTTATAAAAAAAATATAAATATTATAAAAATAGTACAAAAAAGTAAAAAAAAACACAACAGAATATGAACAAAAAAACATGTCCTCGAAAGTTACAACTAGGATGCTATATATATATATATATATATATATATATATATATATATATATATATATATATATATATATATATATATATATACACCCTTGCAACGGTGTCAGAAAGTTTTTCCATATTTTGTTGACATAAAAAAAAAATTTAAATGCAAGACTGGAAATTTTTTTCTTTTTCTTTTATTATTTGATAGACTGCCTGCCCAAACTAAACCCTCAGTTGATGTAGCAGCACTCCTTGGCGAGTCAGGCTATTTGTCAGTTGATGTAGCAGCACTCCGTTGTGAGTCAGGCTATTTGTCAGTCGATGTAGCAGCACTCCTTGGCGAGTCAGGCTATTTGTCAGTCGATGTAGCAGCACTCTGTTGCGAGTCAGGCTATAAGATTTAGCAACATTTCCAACTGGTTACAAACTTAGGCCGGTGTTTCATTATGTTGAAATTTATGGGTATTTGTTATGTTCAAGAGTATTTTAGCTTTTTCTTGAAGCATTCCAAGCTAAACATGGTTATTTATTGTAGTATGTAGTAAGCCATCATTTTGATTGGTGGTAATGGAACCCCATATCATGATTTTAGAGCATTACTTTATAGCCAAAAAACAAATATTGGGGGTTGTATTGTTGGCCAAGTGAGTGTCTAATTTATGTAGAAAGACAACCAAGTTGTTCAATTAATAATTCATTGCTAAATATTACATAATTGTATTTATAATATTATAATAAATATTATACCTTGTATTTCCAAAATAAATATTACATCTTCTATTCCAACTAAAAGCCATACAAACTTTAATATTTTTTCAAGAAAGACAAGTTTTTTTTAGAACATGGCCCTGTAAATAAAACTCTTCTAAATGTTGCAACACTTGTTGCAAACCAGTGGATTTATTTATAGATAAAATTTCAGGAGCACTGAAAAATGGATATGATTTTGTTTAAAGATAAATACAGTTATCAGTCCTTTGAGTAATCATTTTAGTTTGTCCAGTTGGAGCTTTTTAAATCACCAGTTTCATAATATTGTTTCAATATTTTTATGATGCATTAAAATGTACAGCGATAGCTGTCAGTGTCAATCCTTTTTCATAAAAAATACCAATCTAAGCATTTTTTTCTGTTGTTATATAATTAGTTTTTTCCATGAATATGAACTTAATTTAAAATAACAACAAATTATGCCTAAAACAAATTTACTGATCGCGACTATATATATATATATATATATATATATATATATATATATATATATATATATATATATATATATATATATATATATATATATATATATATATATATATATAACATTGGAATTAGGAAAAATGAGGTTAAAATAATTTGCCGACCTTGATCTCTGTGAGGTTGACATCAGGTGGGTAACAATTATTTGATACAAAGGTACGACCATAAAACATAGAAATGAGGTCGGCAATTTTTTGTCGACCTCAAACACTTTCAGGTCAGCAGTTAGGTCAGCATGCTCTATCTATTTGTTAGTTGATTTATGTAAACAGTAAAACAATAAAACTAAAAACATGCAGAATGTTTTTTATTTTTATCAAAAAAATAAAAATCATTCTATAAAGTTGTGTTTTTGTGTTTTTTTAAAAAACAATAAAGCTTAGTTTACTTAATTATTTACTTATTTTTAGATAAAGTGTACTTAATTTTGTCACTTATAAACGCAAAGAGTTGAGTGCTGTTTTTCGCCAAAAACAATAAATTTAGATGTCAAACTATAGGGTTATATATATATTTAAATTTTGCTTAAATGAAAAACAACATTAATAATAATACTTAAAGTTTCTTGCCATACACGACAATCATCAGCTATTAAATACATACTAAAACCGTTAGAAAAAAGGGTTTTTTCAATATATATATATATATATATATATATATATATATATATATATATATATATATATATATATATATATATATATATATATATATATATATATATATATATAGTAGTTTGTAATTTTTAAACGGTTTTTTATATTTTTAATTTTGTACTTCATGGCTGATGATTGCCAAGAGGCATGAAACTTTAAGTTCCATTAAAAGTTGTTTTTTCTATATTTAAGTATATTGATATATATATATATATATATATATATATATATATATATATATATATATATATATATATATATATATATATATGTATATATATATATATATATATATATATATATATATATATTTGATGGAACTCTGAGTTTCATGCCTTTCGGCAATCATCAGCCATTGTGTATTTCGTCACTTAAAAACCGTTTAAAAATTACAAATTCAGTTCTTATCAACCGTATTGTAAACCTAATAAACAACTTATGTATGTTCATTCAGAGTCAAACCATCCACCTAATATAATAAAAGAAATCCCTCGCACTATTGAGTTAAGATTATCGAATATGGCAGTAAATGAAACTGTATTCAATAACTCAATTATTCCGTATGAAGAGGCTTTACGTAAATCAGGATACAATTCAAAACTCACCTACCAACCGCAAATAAACAAAAATCAAAAAAGACATCGCGAACATAAAATTATATGGTACAACCCCCCGTTTAGCAAAAATGTTGAAACTAAAATTGGAAATCGCTTTTTAGCTTTAATTGACAAACACTTTCCAGTAGGACACAGGCTTCATAAAATTTTTAATCGAAACTATGTTAAAGTAAGCTATAGTTGCATGCCTAATGTCAAGTCTTTAATAAATACGCATAATAACAAAATTTTACATAGCGATAAAAATAAAACATCAAAAAAATGTAACTGCATAGACAAAAATATTTGTCCGTTAAATAACCAATGCCTTTTTAGCAATATCGTATACCAAGCCACTGTAAGTTCTGGTGATCCTCAATGCAAAGATAAAGTTTATTTCGGTATAAGTGAAACCACATTTAAATTATAAAATAAATGCACCCAAATATAAAAATGACACTGAACTTTCTAAAGAAATATGGGAGCTAAAATCGAAACATATAAATCCTGTGATTACATGGAAGATAATAGCACAATGTAAGCCCTACAATCAAGCATCAAAAGTTTGTAATCTTTGTCTCCGCGAGAAGTTTCACATATTATCATATAAAGGAGAAAACTTACTTAATAAAAGATATGAAATAATATCAAAGTGCCGGCATTCAAAAAAATTTTTACTATCCTTATTTGATACCGGGACTAAAACCTTTGACGTCTTTTTGTTTTGTTTTGTTTTGTTTGGTAACGTCAGAACTCGTTCCACCGTAATTTTAATTTGTAATTTTTAAACGGTTTTTAAGTGACGAAATACACAATGGCTGATGATTGCCGAAAAGCATGAAACTCAGAGTTCCATCACTTGTTATTGACATGTAAATTGTAAAGAAATAATTTTCTTGTTGTAAAAAAAAAATCAAGTCTTTAGGAAATATGGACGGGATATTACAATGTCTTCATCAACAGGGCAAAATGGCTTTTTATATAACAACTCAACAAAAAAAGTTTACTTTTTACGCCTAAAAAAAATAACTCGGTTTCAGTTATTCATAATCAATAGTGTCTTTCAAGTATAACTTTTTTAAGATCATTTTTTTGCAGCGCGTTTTTATTTAGTGTTACTTTAGAGTTGTTGTTAGTTTTTAAAATTTTATAAAATTGGAAGTATAAATTGCATAATAACTCGTCTTGTCCCGGTCACTTTTGTAAATCAAACTTTATAATAATAAGAATTTTAACATTTAAAAAAGAATCTTAAAGTTATTAAATTAGCATTAAAATTTAAAAATGTTTATGATTTCTAAATTAAACAGTCTTATGACTAACAATCATTAGCTTACAATAAAAATGTTAATTTAAAAAAAGGCTAAATTTCAATTGTTAGGAAAATTACTTGATTGTCTATTTTTAAATTTTTATCATTTCTGACGATCAATGTTGATAGATGATCTTCAAATGATTATTTCCAGCACTGTCAGCTTAAACTGTCCAATAAATCTAATTATTGTTTTTTAATTATAGTTATTTATACTTTCATACATTTCAACATAGTTATTAAAAAACATTCATACATTTCAACATAGTCATTAAAAACACTAATTAAAATCTCACTAATTTGCTTGCTAGCTCCTTTGTTACACATTTGGCAGCCACTAGATGTCAGTGTTTATTGCCATTTCAAAAGAGTTTGAAACAAACTATTTTAACAGTTTTATGCAGAGAAAAAAGTTTAGTTTAATTCAACAATCTATCAAAAGAATGTTTTGATAAATTGCTGAATTTTCTTGTAAAAACTTCACCAGAGCTAAAAATTTTCGCAAGCAAAAGTTTTCAGGTCTGGTGAGGTTTTTAAACACATGCAATCACTGAAAATAATGGTTACTTTCTGAAAAACATCAGTTAAAATTCCAAATTGCTTAATTGCTAATAATATTAATAATAACAATAACAGTACTAATAATACAGATTCTACAAAATAAAATTAAAGAAAAAAAAATTACCCCTATTAATCGAATTCGTTGTTCAATATCTTCCCACATTATTTCAACCATTTTGTAAGAAATATTTTTTCCTTGTGTTCCGCATGGTTTAAGACGAACTAGAACCATCCTCAACATTAAGAAAATACTTTGAATGAAAAAAGCATAAAAAAGATTGCAAATAATTTGACATAATAAAAGATTGCAAATAGTTGTCATATTTGTTTAAAAATTGTTACAAGTTGGTCTAAACAGCTGTCATGGAAGGTAGGACCAAGGTTTAAATATTACTGGGGCCGGGGCTGGGTTTGATAAAATACAGCCAAGGCTGTGACTGCATAAATATTTTTACACCCTAAATTATATTTTTTTATTCAAAATTCATGTTATATTTTGTATATATATGCATATGCAGGCCTTGCTTTAAAGCAATACACGTAGAGCGATTTACATAAGCGGTACGACAAAAAAAGTCATTAATTAAAAAAAAATCACATTACCTTTTAAACAACATTTGTATGAAAATATTTGTTGCTAAAGTTTGAATGACAATTATGTTAAATGTAAGTGCTATTTACTAATGAAAAAAACTCAAAATTAAAACTGTATTTGGTTTTTATTTTATTGTAATGATTGATTTTTTCACATGAAAAACACAAATACTTTAAGCTTAAAGCAAAGATCATAATATAATTAAATTCTGATAAAAAATAATATGATAATAACTTGATATAGAAGATAATATAATTTAATTTAGATTTAAATCTAAAAAAAGAAAAAACAATTTAATTTTGATTTAAAATATTTAAAGTTTATTAAAACTAAAGTTAATGCTAATAAATTCTTTTTTTTTAATGCAAGTTAAATCGCAACGATTATTTTTAATAAACTTTATATACAACAAGATAATTTTAATAAATTATGTTTGGAAAAATAATCTTTGCTCTCACAACAAAATCGTTAAAATAAAATACTTGTAATAAATAAAGTAAATAAATTGACGTAATTTTTTTATTTGTTACTCTCTAATTTTATTTATATAAAAAATTTGTAGTTGCAAACCTGCAATTAGAAATTTAAGAAATAATCATTAAAAAATTCATTAATTTAACATATTTCAATTTATTTATGTAAATGTTGAGAAAAGAAAGAAATTTATTATCAAAAATTTTTAAAAATGTAATATTAAATTTAATTATTAAACATTAAAAAATACATAAAAAAAAAAAATTAACATCCCCTTATAGTAATAATAAAAAAAGAGAATAAATAACATTCAACTCATTTTTTGGTAATTAATATCATTGCAGTAATTGAAAAATGTTTGTCTTTAAAAAATAAAAAAATAAGGAAATTTTATATAGTCAAATTCACATTAGGCTATTGCGTTAAGCATTTTTAATTTAAAACATTGTGTTAAGGCCATTTTCTATATTTAAAACAAGGCCTGCATATAAACATCATTATGATCAACAAGATCATCATAATCATCATTGCCATCATGATCATGTTCATCATCATCACCTTCAGTTTTTTCCTCATTTATGCTGTTTCTCCAATATAAACAATCTAGAGCATTTTCTTTCTTTCACTAAAGCTCATTCATACAATATGTAAGTTATCTTACTAGTACCTTCTAGTAAAAGCTGCTACCTCTCCACATGCTAATACCTAAATCACTTGAATCTTCTCTAACAAACGTTATTTGATACAAGGTTATACTAATCTGTCCTTATAACTCTTACCCATCTTTATGTTTTCCTTTTACATACAACCTACAAATACTTAAGTCTTCAGTTAACCATTTCCTAGCTTTTTAATGCTATCCTCTATTTTTAAGCAGCTTATAATTTAATAGTAATTGCTTTCAACCTTGTTGAAAAGCCAGTATTTAGTAAATAGTAAATGTAAATATAAAATTATATCATATAAAGTATTATAAATTTTCTTCTAGCCCCGGCTGTCAACCCCTGCTAAGTCTTACAATTTTTACAGGGGCCATGTTTGCAAAAAGTCTAGTTTTTAGCTGGGCCAAGACCGAGGTCCCAGTCACTTCCTAATGGAAGGAGTTTTAAATAAATGCTAAATATATTTTTAATTAACTCACTCAAAAAATAAAAATAAAAATAAAAAAAAAATATATATAAAAGTATATATATATATATATATATATATATATATATATATATATATATATATATATATATATATATATATATATATATATATATATATATATATATATATATACACACATATATATACAAAATAATTAAAAAAACACAAAATATTTACAAAAAATAAAAATCCTCTTTATCAAAATATATATATATATATATATATATATATATATAATATATATATATATATATATATATATATATATATATATATATATATATATATACATACATAATAATAATAATAAGGCATGCTTGCTAGTATTGCTTATGTTTATGGCATATGGCTTTTCAGAAAAAGAAGAAAAAAACAAACAATAATGAAAAAAAAAAAAAGATGCCAAACCGTCAGTTAATGTTGCTACACTCCCTTGCGGCAGCAGGTTATAAGATAGTAAATGTATGTACTGAAGCCCCCTGCAGCAAGCTATTTTATTATGACATCACAGCTCATCTAAACATATATATATATATATATATATATATATATATATATATATATATATATATATATATATATATATATATATATATATATATATATATACACACACACACACACACACATGTATATATATTGTACATTAACGTGTACATAAAAAGTTGAAAGCAACAAAAGAAAACAAGTACAACTAAAAGTTAAATGCAATAAATGAAAATAAGTTCAATAAAAGTTAAATGCAATAAATGAAAATATAAACAATAAAAAGTTGAATGCAGCAAATAAAAATGTGTACAAAAAAAAAGTTGAATGCTACAAAAGAGATATGATAAAAAAGTTGAAATACATAAAGAGATACATAAAAAAGTTGAATGCAATAAAAAAAGGCAAATAATAAAATGTTGAATGCAACAAAAAAAATTAAATGCAATAAAAGAAAACATGTAAAATAAAAAGTTTAATGCAACAAAAAAAAAAAAGGTGCAATAAAACATGTTTAATGAAACTTGTTATTTTTAAAGTAAATTTTCAAGAATTTATACTTCAACATCAATTTAAAAAACTGAAAAAAACAACAACCAACATTTAAAGAAATTATATTTCACAACATCAATAAAAGCATAAATAACACAAACATCACATTTCAAATGCACAACATATATCAATTTCACAAAATCAATATATATTTTTTTAAACATCTTTGCTTCCAACAAGGCTGCAAGATAAAGATTGCAGAGCAAGATAACGAATGACAGATAACTTAAAAGATTGCAAATTATATGAATAAGGAAAGCAAAGTAAAGGAAGCCAATTCCAAAAAACTGATGTTCGAGGAAAAAAACTAGACAAATGAGAGTTTAAAGGGATCCTTAAAGGAGACCGTAAAGGAGACCTTAAAGGGATCCCCAACTGTCGAGACAAGTTGCGTTCATATTAAAGAAAATGTTTAAAAAAAACATTTGGGCTTTATTTTTTTGATTGAAATTAATAATTAATGCATACCAACAAAATTAAAATTTGCGTTTTAGTGGAAGCTCGCCTTCTCCATTTTCCATTTATTTGGTTCTCATAATGTTAGCCGCAATCTGCAGACTTGATAATTTATTCAATGCGTGTTAATTCATAACAGTTTTGGTATATGATGTCATCACAATATCTTTTTAAGATAGCATTTTTTTGTTGTTTTTTTAAAGATAAAAGTTTTTCTACTACAATCAGAAAATTAAATATAACATAAATAAATAATAAACATAAAACAATAATAAAACAAATAAAAAAAAAATTATAAATATAAAAATATATATATTTTTTTAATTATTCACCTCCCCGAGGCCCGAGGGGGCCACTACAGTTGAGGAGGCTACTACTTTTTTATTTTATTTTAATTTTTTATTTTTTGTTGTAAATTGTGGTACAACCCTCTCTCAACTCTTTAACTCCGAAACACGAACCTTGACAAGCAAGACCGCTGCGCGGAGAAATTGAGTTGAGCGCGGTACTTCCAGGGACATGAGTGGAAAATATATTTGCGATTTAGTAAAAAAATATACATATATATATATATATATATATATATATATAATATATATATATATATATTTGTATAATTTTTTACTAAATCACAAAATATATTTGTGATTTAGTAAAAAAATATACAAATATATATATATATATATATATATATATATATATATATATATATATATATATATTTGTAATTTTTTTTTACTTGTTTTATTATTGTTTTATGTTTATTATTTATTTATGTTGTAGAAGCCAGCCAAAATCATGACACAAGTATACATATGTTGTGATTATTGGAGTTGTCAGGCAGAGAAAAAATAAAGACAGTATGATGCGGTTTTTCATTTTATATTTAGTTTATATGGTTCAATAGAGTTGTTCGTTTTATGTTTAATTTACATTTAGTTATGGTTTAACTCTTTCACTACCGCAAGCCACTGGTAGCGGCTTTCGAGTATGCTTTATAATTTATCTGGTTTAGTACATAAATTTCCATTCTAGACACAGGATTTGTTTGTTTTGAAGGTTTAATTATTTATCTACATAATCAAGAAAAAATAAGAGCTATAATAAAAAAAATATCACAAAGTTAAAAAATCTTGAATAATCTTAAAAAAAACTTTAAATTTAATTATAAAATAAAACAGCGTTAACACTGTAAAATCAACTTGTAGAAGTGTTAAGTATTTAGTTAAGTAATTACCAAAGTATTTTGAAGAAAAAATATTATTTTTATTCATTAAATGAGGTTTGTTTTGGACTTAATGTTTTTGTTATTACTTACAAAACCAATAGTTTTAAGCACTTTGCATTTCTTATTGTTTAATGAAGCGTGTTAAAAACTTTATTATTATCGAATTTTAATTAATTGTCAATGTTATGCTATTCAAACATTATTCAAAAAAATGTGCGGTTGCTACAAAAAAATTTGGGTTAAAAGGATTTTGTTTGGCTGACAGCGAACAATTTAATACGATTCTTTGT